TGTGCATCTCTGTCTTTTCGCTACACGCCGTGTGTGTGTTGGTGTGTGTGTGTTCGTGTATGAATATGGATGTGTATAAATGTGTGTATATGTGCATCACACGCCTGGATATATAACCGTGCAAGCAGGAGCACGGAAAGCCGCGCTACTCCCCCGTGAGGCTCATTAATTATAATTAATATCGCTGTCGATAATGGCACCGGCGTTCCGTATAATGCCACGGCGTACATACATTGCCGTGAAACGCCTTCGCTTTATGCATGAGGACGGTCTGCCGCGACTGGTTTTCGCGAGAGCGATCGTGATCGATATGATCGGTGTGCATCCGCGTGATCCTCCGTTTAGCTGAGACCGCACACTCCGTGCGTTCGTTGCGTCGATCGTGCGTTACGGATGATCGTTGCAACGCCCGGAATCCTTCAGCTGCTCGTCACGAAAATCTATTTGTCTAGCAATTAACAATGTATACCCGTTAATTTCATTTCCTGCTGTGCAATGGGTTTATATAAATAGATGCATAAATAAGTTATTAATTAATAAATAGTGAAAATTATTAACGGATACAAACACACGCACGTACACATACGCGTGCGGTCAAATTTGATAAGTTTCTTCCATGTATCACAAAATTATCGAATAATATAATTTTCATACAAATAGCGAATAGCCTGGTCAATCAGAGCCGAACGCGAGATTAGTTGCTAAATTCATCCATGTTTGACAGCGTAAATGGACACGCCAAGAGCACACTGAGAAGAAGATACTTGAAAACTTATTTGTGGGATATAAAGTTTATCTCTGTGAAGTCTATTTCTGTAAAATAAACTTTACCTACAAATAAGTTTCAAGTATTTTCTTGTCGGTATACCTTGGTTCACAGCAAAAAAAAGAGATACTTGAAGATTTATTCGTAGAGTATAGGCTTTATTTTACACAGAAATAAACTTTATCTTACAGTAATAAACGTTATATCCGATAAATAAGTTTTCAAATATTTTTGCTCAGTGTAACATACACTTTTATACATTTCTCTCGTAAATTTTTCTAATAACACAGGACCACAGAATAAAAAAAAGTATTTTGTTCCGGAAGAAAAACCAACTATTTCCTACATATTTTGACGTGCTGAAATAGAATCTGTTTCCCAAAAATTCGTATCATGTCACGTTTATGAGATACACGTGGTAAGAGGATCCAAAGTCACATAATTCATATTGCAAATTAGTAGTAGTAGAACCATCACTATAAACAATAAATCAATGAAACCAAGTCTCTTGAATCCTCAACCCATACATCCCAAACTCATATACCCTTGAAGGCAAGATCTCGAAATAATCCGGCCAATGAAGGCAAGATCTGGAATTAATCCGGCCAGTGAAGGCAAGATCTCGAAATGATCCGGCCAGTGAAGGCAAGATCTGGAATTAATTAATTAATTAATTAATTAATTAATTAATTAATTTTGGCTTGGGAGATAGTTATGATGATAACTCTTTGTAAAGGGTCTAATCGAAATTTAATGAAAATGGATTTAGTCGTGGCTTTCTAACTTACAAGTTTTGATATTAAAGTTTATAGGTTTTGGGCTTGGGATGTATGGGTTTGGGGTTTATGAGTTGAGGGTTCAAGAGATTGGTTAGTTTACTAATATTTATGGTTGTGGTTCTACGTAGATAAGAATTTATAATCTGCATTATTTTAATTTGCAATGTGAATTATGTGATTTCAGACCCTTTTACCCTTTTACATGTATATCTCATAAATGTAACGTGATAAAAATTTTTGGGAAACAGATTTTGTTTCAGCACATCAAAATATATGTAGGAGTTATTTTTTTTCCGGAACAAAATACTTTTTTTATTCTGTGGTTCTGTGTAATTATTCCCCATCCTAAACGGAATATAGTTTTCTCCAGATACACATACACACACACACATACAAACACACACAAAAACGATGCTACATGATGCATTTACAATTGACAGATACAAACGTGAGCTTTTATGAGAATGCATAGTTCAAAGGCGCAAACGAGTAACCATATATCTGGTGAGAATAAATTGTCATCGTCTAACGATTTCGAGAGGATCGTTCGATATTAAGAGTTAATTCGCCGGTCTGACAGGTGTAGGAATTGATGCCCAAGGGGTCCGGGAACATGTCCCGACGTGGATGGAGTATCGATCATTATACGCGTCGCGGTTATAAATCGTCGTTACGAATCAATTGGCCGTCGAGCGTGACTATTCGCGGATGCAATTAACCACCGGCGGGGAGCGATTTCGCCCGGTCAGTCCGTTGACGAGAGGTGCAAAGGTATCTGGGGCGTTCTTGTCGTCGCGCACGCTTTAGCGCGCAATCTTGCGACAGCATTTTCCAATTTTGCGGACAAGTGGAAACCGAAGTGCGCTACTTCCGCGCGTATCAGACACCTGAATCTCCGTCTGTCGCGCAAAAACGCTTACAGTTGTTCGCAAGCGACGTAACTTCCGCACGAATTCTGTCTTTCGGACACGCGGCTGGGTGCGGAAAAGTACGTCGTGTTGTAATTCGCGCGGCGCACACGCGGTTGTATTCGGCCGCGCTTGAATCGCGGCCCCGCTACTTCCGAAAAAGAAAGCCATCGATTTATGTGCCCTTAAACATACGTAAACCGGTGCAGCACCGCTGCGGCCGTGATGAGGGATCCACCGACGTGGATTAAGCGACGCTGATTATATGCATCTCGGTTGTAAATCGTTATAAATTAATCGGCCGTCAGGCTCTCCTCGCACGTCTATCGGCGGATGGTATCAAGCGCCTCGGAAAGAGGGATCGATTCGCCGAGCATCGATCAGAATCCTCGTACGCTTCTTGACCTTTAGCCGCCGCTAAATCGGTTAGTCTGAAATGAGTTGTTTCTCCTTTTTGCGCGATGGGGAAGTCGAGCTACGTACGTACGTTTCGCTGGTGTGTGAATTTCAGCATACGTGAGAAATGTTTCTGTTCTATTCGAGGGAGGGAAGGTGTGGAGAGGAGAGTATTCGTTACCGTCGAACCTCTTGACCTTTCGCTGATAGTGGATCGATGTATCCTCCCTTGGCTTCCGACGAACGCTCGCGTGAATTCGCGGATTAGAAAAATCGCGCGCTTCTTGACGGATCGATAGCCTTGATCGATCAAACGTTAGTCCGCATACTTTTCGTAATTGCCCCACGGCGCGTATGAAATAACTGTACTAATGGTGCTGCCCGCTACGGACTGATTATTAATAGCTGCGATTAACTCGACACCGGTATCTTATATCAAACCTCGTTTAATCAGTGCTGCGCATTCGACCACGCGATTGGGCGAGTAACATCGCACGGTATTACGCGAGCGCATTGATGCGGAATCATAAGAGCCGCGCGGAAAATTTTTACTTGACTTTATCGCGAATTCTAACGTGGAAACGGAGGTTCTCATGTAACAACTGTGACAATGTAACAACTGTGTCGTTGGGAAAATATCCTACAGTTAGAAGAAACTGTACATACGGAGACAATTTTATAGTAAAGAAATTGATACATGTGGAATTTCATAACCGAGAAATATAAATCGACATTCTACGCTCGTAATATTATGCATATACATTCATCTCAGCTTCATTTTAAATTAACGTTTATATTACTTAAATAATTAAATAAATGTACAGAAACGTATTTCCGCTCGATAAATAGTAAATTAGTAAGTGGTTTCTTGATATAACACTCTCTCTCTCTCTCTCTCTCTCTCTCTCTCTCTCTCTCTCTCTCTCTCTCTCTCT